CACAAGATTCCCGTTAGATAAGCATTCAATTGCTTAATCCATTGCACGATATACTCTCGTGCATTCCCAAGATTCCAATCCCGTACCGTTGCCTCTAATTTTCTGTTCACAGTGATGACGATGACTGCGACATCGATGATTGTCATTGTGGTCATTATGGTTATGATGATTGTAGTTACACTCATTTTTTTTTATAAAAAACAAAGGTCAAAGTTAAATAATCCAGTTTCTTACGCTTTAGGAAATTCCAATGCTCGTTGTTTTTTGAGGGTTACTTGTTATGATGCCATTAACTTCAACAATCAGGGTCCTATAAAAAACCTCCTTTCTTTCCAATAATAAGCAATCCCAGACAACGGTCAGAAACCTGGGGCCCACTTGTGTCCGCGCCCACGTGCAAATTCGCAAGCCAAAATATCGTCACTATCATCATCATCATCGTAGCCGGGTGAATGTGGTAGTGAAGAACTTGTATCCCCTGATATTTGTCATAAGGAACCAGAGAGAGAGAGAGAGAGAGAGAGAGAGAGAGAGAGAGAGAGAGAGAGAGAGAGAGAGAGAGAGAGAGAGAGAGAGAGAGAGAGAGAGAGAGCGAGAGAGAGAGAGAGAGAGAGAGAGAGAGAGAGAGAGAGAGAGAGAGAGAGAGAGAGAGAGAGAGAGAGAGAAAGAGAGAGGGGGGGGAGGGAGATACGGTTGTCCTTGTTGTTATTTTACCAACACTGGAAAAAAAGAATGTGTCCCCGTTTCCACCCAAGTCTCTAATTAGAATAAACTTGTATTTTCATCATTAGCTTCTGTTGTTAAAGGTTTTGATGCAGCTCTTCGTATGTGTGCTATATTTAAGATTTTAGCCAAATACGTTTTGTATGTCAACGACTAAAACAAAATCTAGTGCATAATCCTGTGTTTATTTTCTTAGCAGAATAATTAATCCCTTTTATTACTGTTTGCACTCTGATCGCCAGGATAAAACCTTCATTGTCCTAGAGTTGTTTATGACTTTCACTCCTTTCAATTAGTCCGTGCCCTCATGCTGTTTGCGGGCAACGGATGCTGCAGGCTTCATTAAAAGTAAAATCTTTGTGAACTTGCCTTTTTATGGTTTTGATGACGTAATGATGATGGTGAAATTGTAAGGCGCTAACTCTCCCTCAGATCTCCCGGTATTGGAAGGTATCTAAAAATTTCTGTACGGTATAAATTTTCACTAAATGAAATTATGCGCCTGTAGGGTGCGCTGAAGAGTAAATTATATTGTTTTGTCAAGTTAGTTATTAAATTATGTGCGTATTCGTTCGTTTGAACCGCCTTGAAATATCGGTTCTATTTTTTACCTATGATTGTGTATATTGCTTTGTCGTGAATTTTGCTGTAGTTTGAGAGAAATATGTTGATTCAAAATTTTCGTCAAGCCGAAAAAATGTTGGCACCATTCTTATTCCAGGAAGCCAATATTAGAGCGACATTGCTGTTTTATCTCCGCCCCATGAGCGTTTCTTGTGTCGAGCTTTGGCCATTGTCACCGGGTCGTTTGTGGTAGAGCAATTATATTCAGGCAGTTTGAGACTAAGAGAAACTCATTTATATCATTTAAGACTTTAATTGTTATAGCGTGTACCCTCTCGCAACTCCCCCTACAAACTCGATTACGAAGCTTTTATATCTGCGTAATAGCTTACTGGGCATGCGTATATTACAGTACTTATATATACGTACGCAGCGATTAAATCCTACTACAGTTTAGGGGGAGGGGAGCTATAGTTCATTTGTTTCCATTGAACAATATTCTTCTTTCCATTCTTGTTTCCAATGTTTCCAAACAATAGTGCCTCCGTCCTAAAACCTTATCCTTCCTATAGCCATTGATTTTCTTCTTGAACCATTTTAATACATCACATTTTTTAAGCAATTTCATGATGTAAGGTCCACACCAGGTCGGCTCGTGGCGTGCATTTTTGTTCTGCTTGATGTTGATGGCTCATCAATTTTGCCTGTTTTATTTTGGCTTTCTACCACACCCTCTTCGCTTTGCTTTTCACATCGATGAATTTCCTAACATTTCTTCTCTTCGGTAGCATATTCATAATACGTATTCTTACTCGTTTCCTTCTTTCCTTAAAAACCCATGTTTTCATCTAGTCAATAATTAGATTCATTTCGCATTAACATCGATGATATCCAGTGTTTATCTTATAACGTCCTGAGTTATTTTCATCTTTTGTCAATGAAATATTCTAGACAATGATATATGATCGCATTTGCAATTATCTCATCTCTGTAACCGAGTCCATTCAGTCTTCGCCTATTAAGCGATCACAATTTCCTGTTTTGCAAGTTCGTTGGTTGCATTGATTTACTGTCATGGAGCACTTTGTTTCTTCTACCTGCTGCAGCCATTACCGAATCAAGCACCTACGTAGGAACAACTGAAAGGGGGTCGGAAATCGATGAAATGTCGGTGAATGGATGAATTTAAGAGTCAGTGGGCAATAAAGATCGAACAGTGGGGTCCAGGGTCGAAGCCCATCTGTAAAAGAATAATTTTCCAGCAGTTTCTTAATGCCAAGGGTTATCAAGGTTTGGTTATCTTGGCGCTCGGTTTTTATAGAGGGTTACTTTTAAAAGTGCGTATAAACCGATCACTTCATAAAGCAATTATTGATTCGATCGTGCCATGCTACTGTTGTTGATGCTACTGTTGCTGCAGTTGTGCTTGAGTTGATAAATGGCACCGCTTCTCACCAGAGGTCATAGTGGTTTAGTGGTTGTTTCATTCATAGATTCGCAAAACCGCAAAAGATACGGATATGGTGGCAATATTTTTCTACATTGGCTGATAAATTCTTGAAAGTGTCTTATAATATTAGATACTAAGTTCTATGAATCTTGACCTCAACCCTAAATTTATCTTTTAGTTGAGATGAAGCTTGTATTGCTGACATTGCGAAGCAGCTGAGAGCAAACCTAGTTGATATCCTGTTTCTCTTAACGTTTTATCGTGTTTAAATGCTCGTTTATAGCTCGAAGCAGAGGCTGGCACAATATAAGGATTACAATCAATTATGACCAAGAATTATTATCAATTATGATCAAATAATTGTCACCATATTTTTATAAGCGGGCATTGGATGTAAATCAGCCCTCTGCTGCCATTTGCCCTGACGCCCATAATCTTCCGGTAGACACATTCATATTACATCATCAAAATACGACGTCATCAAAATACGACGTCAACAAAATACGACGTCAACAAAATACGACGTCAACAAAATATGACTGTAAATGTGATTGGTTTATTTAAATTATCATCTATCTCGTCGATTATGCTTCATGATATTGAGGGCCTTTCCTTTTGAAGATGAGCATTTTATGATAGTGAAAAGGCAACTGTTTAGCTGATGTCGTCACAGTTTATTTGCCATTGGCTCTCTTAGGAAATTGGCCAAAAGAAGAAAGTCTCTTTTTTCCAAATTGATGTGGCCAGGAGAATCGAACCCGATTTACTTCATCTCTTCGACCTCATCAAGTTTCTGCACCCGAGTCATTCAGTTGCCACTGCACGCACACCCCTCGGGGAGGCAGAATTCATTTTTCGATCTTATTCACAGAAAATCATTTGTTTATTATGTAAATACGAGCTTTAGTAAGGTTTTTAAGTTCAAAACGTTTAGGCCAGCCCTGCATTCACTTTATGAATCTGGGTCGTTTGTTAAAGATAAAATGTAATAAGCGAATAAAAATGGTTCGGATCGAAGATTAGAAAGATTTTCGTACGCCTGTGTTTTCTATTTGTACCAGACCGCCGTTGATTCAAAGCTCGTTTCGATATGGATTTTATGTTTGACCTTGGAGACCTTTAATGGTCCAATTTAGGCCTGGAAAGCACCGTTGTAACCAAAGGAAAAGGTGGATGCTATACCTTCATTTCTTGTTGGCAGTATTTGCAGTGCATGTTTCTCTGGGACCAGGTGGAATGTAAAAATCGAAATTTTCAAGTCCCTAAGAAGCTCATGATAGTCGAAATAAAGATAATAGAACAGATGAATTGTTGTCTCTATTTGGCACCTTACAAACTGCCTACATGTAATTTTTTATTGTCTTAACTGTTCGTTTAAAAAGAGGTGTTCATTTTGACATCATTCATAATTAACAATGTTTAGAAAACAACTGTTTGTTAGATCCTTTTTCGTGTAGCACATTTCGAATGGACGACGTCAACAAGCTTAGGCACGTAGTAAAGTATTATGCCGCGAGGTTGGTGTGTTTTGCGGCGAGCCTGAGCTCCTATATGGTGCAGCAAAAGCTACCCAAAACCCGACCATGCCAAGTACCCGCATAAAGTCTCGAGGCCCTCAAAACGAGACTGTGAATTAGAGTTTTTGCGGCCTTCAAATTGGTGTGGTTTGCCGCAATATTTTGTTAAGGCTGTTGTTCATTTTTAATTCATTACCTCTGGGTAGTTCCTAGTTTATGACATAATTGGAACCGATAATTTTGTGACAAACCCGTCCTGGTAAACCAGCAAGGGGCTGCCAAATGGCTTCATCGTTTTCAAATGTTAGTTTTGACGAAGACGATAGATCTTTTTGAGAACTTTTACATGTAGCTACGAGAACGTCCCTACATGGCGTGGGCACATATTTAGATAGCTTTGAGAACGTCTTTAGATAGCTTTGGTTACGCTTTGTCGTTGTCATATCAAAAGCTACATATTTTTTTAGGGTACCGTACACTTTCAGGTTTTTAGAGGTTCTTTGAAAATTATGCAGAAGTATTTTCTTCTAGTGATCACTTCTGCTGCTGAGGTTTCGTCTGCCCCTTTACCGTCTGCCCCTCACCTCAAACCGGTATAATTTGTCCGGTGTAAATGGACTTGTATAATTTCTTTAAACCACAAACCGTTTTCACAAGTATGTTGTGTTTGCATCGCTTAAAGTGTTTGCTTTTTCAATTACCTGTCGGCAGTTTACATATTTTTGACCACCTTTTTGCTTTTATAGGGCCCCCAGGGGATCGTGGTTTACCAGGACCGCAAGGCCCTCCCGGCCCTGCTGGCCCCAAAGGCTCTGCAGCAAGTGAGTTTTTTTAAATTTACTATGTTTTGCGTCAATGTTTTTGTTGTTGGGTGGAAGCCAATCATGAATTTGAAGAGTGTTCATTTCCGAATGATTGTATATTTGGCTGATTATCTATGAATTATTTATGTGGAATATTTTCATATACCTTACTAACTTTGAGTCATAAGTCCTAGAATTTTGTACTACCGATATCATATATAACTAACACATTGACAGATGTTTTCGATCATACGACCCTTGTGTGACTTGTGTTGAATGGTAACTTTCAGTTTTTCCGTCGCTTTGTGCTTCTCATCTTTCTGCCTTGGTTTGTTACGCTTACACAGACTTAATGCTCGTTGAAGGCAACCTCAGTAATTTTGTAGGTTCAGAAAATTCATTTTTCATTTTTATTTTTCGTCTTTATTGCAGGAAAGAAAGGAAGGAAAGGTAAGCCATTTGCTGATATTTTCTTCTGCTGTACAATCTGTATTGATCTTTTTTCGTATTAATCAAATCTATTTGCAAGACCTTTTTGCCACTACTAAACTAGTCAAAAAGTTAAATAATGAAACAAAGAAAATGCTGATAGACTTTTTATCAAATCTCTTTCGTAAAATCAAATATATTTCAGCCAAATTTCCATTTCTGCAATTATTGAAATTTATGAACACTACACGATGCCTTTGTTGTCGTTCTCTCTCACTCTTTCTCTTTATCTTTCTGCTATTCTCATTCACACGATGTTCGAAGACTGCTTTTGACCAGATTGTTTTGCTTCTAGGCGATCAAGGACCTCGTGGCTTTGATGGTAATTTTTCATTTTTATTTTGCTTCGCTTGTCTTTCTTCATACCCCTAACATTGCTTGCCCTACTTCATGCTTTTTGTACAGTGGCGCTTTCATATCCTTTAAGAGCGTGTTGACCATTTGTGGCAAAAATGTCTGCCCCTTGTTGGAAGGCGTTCGTTGTTTAGACGTGTCCCTACAAGGATGTTCCGCTGCATTCGCATTGACTTGCAAGAACACCATTTTACGAGGAAAAAATCAAGAACAATTACAAGAACACAATTATTTGTTAAGAAAGGATGTACAGTTTCCCATATCTGAGAAAAAAGGGAGGAAACCATGCGAATTTTGTATCACTGTGACAATATAATAGTAGGTCCTCGAGCGTAGTGAACTGATGGCTCAGTGAACAGATTAGTAAAAGTATAAAGTAAAATATAGATGTAGTATTGACATGTAAAAATGAAGATAATACGATGTGGCTCTAAACCTTAGGTGCTGCAGGCCCACCCGGGGACCGTGGCGATCGCGGAGCAATGGGCTTACCTGGCAGCAGAGGAGAGAAAGGTCCTCCAGGTAAGATTTTTGGCTCAGTTGGATATGCACGAAAATGGAAGTATTTTTTGTTGGTTTGATCACACTTTGTGACAACAAGTAGCTTAAATTGAGACTCAGCAGGGGAAACATTTATTGTACATGGTTTTCGAAAATAAGTTTCATTTATCATTTTGATTTTTTTCGTTCAAGAAGCATTGCCCTCTAGCATAGCATAGCTGATTTCGAAAGGGCACTCCGTATGGCGAAACTTCGTATGGCGAAACATAGTATGGCGAAACCTTCAAATTCATCACCTTGTTTAGTCACCTGCAAAATAATTTATAGGAAACCAATATATGTTGTCTTTAACACCATAAGATAACTTTCTTCTTTAGGAGGGCTCGACATCTGACAGTTAGTACTTCGGTTCGAAGTGTTCAGAGGGGAAATAACTTGAAAAACATTGTGTATGATTAATTGTTATCAACCATTGCTTACTGACCCGGAATTCTTATTCAGCTGTTTACTTTAGATTTGTTTTAATGCTGCGCTTTTGTTTATCACATTTCTTTTTTCCTTATAAATAGGAAAGGCAGGACCACAGGGTGCTACTGGACCTCAAGGAATGAAGGGAGATAGGGGAGCACCAGGCTTAAAAGGAGAAAAGGGAGATAAGGGCGATGGCACTGTCACCGTAAGGGTAAGACACATTGCGTCACAACCTTCGTGGGGGACGAACAAATCTTCAAAAGTGTAACGCAATTTTAGTAGAGTCAAAGAATTTGCGTATTAATGATATCATTCCGTGCGCATGCTCTTTGACTCTAGGACGGAGGATGGCCTCTATCGATAAAAGATTTTTTCTTGTTCGTCTCCCCTACAAATATGGACATTTTTTGCACCAATTGGAACTACAGAGATCTTTAAATTTTACATTAATGCCAACCACTCTTCTTTGGTGTAGCCAGGTGTCGTCATGTTTTTCACAGTATTGTGTTCTTGCAGCATCTAGTCAAAATTTTAAGTGTGGTCGTTTATCATTTGAAAAAGTGCAGAAAATCAACCCTTGTGACACGAAAATATGATAAATAGTGCATAAAAATGCAGTTTCAGCTTATGTCATCAGTATGAAGACAGGGGAGTAAGAAAAACTTAAGGATGTGTGATTCATAAACCAAATAAGCAGATGCGAATTAAGTTAGTTCAAGATCATGATATCGTAAGGACGAAAGTTCTAGAAGATGATCCATTAAGTTAGTTTGATTCTAACAACAGTTATTTAATATGACATTTGAGTAGATATTGTGAGAAAGGCTTTTGTACTAGAGCCCAACAACAATAACTCCTCTATAATTTCGGACAGAGTTGTGAATGTTTTGAATCACGAGCGATGTCATTCAGCTCTTTTGCAATGCGTTGTCTTCAGTTTGTTAGCACGTGACCGGAGAGCCTGGTGTAGTAACAGACTGCAGGTGAACAGTGACAACCATGCTTTTTTCTTCTTTCCTTATAGCCTTTCTTTATACTAGAGGGTATCGGATAATTATTTCTCCCCTTTCGGAAGTTATCACCCTCCGCGATTGGAAGTTATGATGTCTTAATGCTCCAATTTTGGTTAGATTAAGAAATAGAAATATAACAAATCTCAAATGACCCTTGTCGCACCTCAATCATACAAAGTTAAGGAATAAGGAGTCAAAACTTGGAAAAGCTTCTTTTTCATTTTTTTATAACCCATACGAAATTTTCATAAGAGAGGAAAATTTAAACGCTGCCTTCAGTCATTAAAATCAAGTCCTTTGCTGCTTTTCACTCAAAAAGGCTATAAAACTCCAAAAGTTCTCTCATATGCTATAAACTGCAATTGCTTCTAAAATGAAATAAGATTTTATCAATGCGTTGACCATAACTGCTCCTAGATGCATTTTTCCCTCTAATAGAAACGAAATTTCACCAATCATTCAAATAGATTTATGCTCAGCAAAAAGCAAATAGTTGTTGAAAATGTTTTTTGTTTAATAAGAAATATGTCGTCGTAAAAAGAATAACGCAAGCATGTTGTAGCAGCCAGTCATTGAAATCGTCAGAAAGTGGTGTTTGGGAATATCTAGAAACTTGAATTATAAGGCAATCCTCTTGTTTTTCATATCCCCTTTTCCTTAGTTAAAACTTAGTATAAGTAGGATTTCCCAGAAAGCCACGAAATAAAGAGCACAACATTGCAAAGTCACTTTAGATTTTTAATTTGTACAAAAACTGTTCTCAAGACAGTTCTAAGAAGGTTTTTAGAAACTTGTAGAGGGTTTCAGTAACGAAACTTTTCTGTTTTTTATCAAAATCTTTAAAAATGAAGTTAGCAAAGTAGAAGAATTCATATTTCTAGGCTCTGGCCCAAAGGGTTATCAAAACTCATTTTAAAGCGAGTTAAAGCTCGTTAACGTTTATTTTGTGAAAGCAGTTAATTTTTAGTAGCTTGTCTTTGCTTAAATTCATACAAATTAGCTGATTGTTGGTATAAGTTGCATTTCCATTTATAGATTGTCATGTCAATTGTCATTGTCATTTCTTCTGTTTTGTTAGGATGACCCGAAGCCTTACTGTCATATCACTGGTAGAATTAGCAGGCGGAAGTCGAGGCACGAACCCAAAGGTAAACCGATCTTAATATATACTCTGAGCGCTTGCTTGATATATATATCATCTCAGCACTAGTGTTTAGTTTTTTAGGAGAAACCGTTTTCTTGCCTTTCTCTCCACTTGAACTTTTTCTTGTTTCATGTTGACATTTGCCTGGGGGTGCCTTTTCTATTTCCCTGAGTTAGTTTTCAACGAATCACTGATGAGCTGTCTTCGGTTTATTGCTTTAGGCTGACGATCGCTTTAATTGTGCCAGGTCAATCGTAAATTGAAGACCAACCTTATCTTAGGCCTTACCAAGGCGATCTTCTACCAGCTATAGTATCAGTGTAAGAAAATAGCTTGCAAAATGTTGCCCACGGTTTTTGCAATGATTTTTTTATTTTCGAATCAGCGGATATACCTGTATTTATAATGGATATACCATTATAAACTTTGGACACAAGCACTTAACTCGCGCTTGGATTTTGTTTTGCGTGCTGGCAGTGCACCCGTTCTGTTTCGTTTCAAAACCTCGTCCTCTCTCGTTGTATTCTCGTCCATCATGTTGTAGAAATTCCGTCGATTCTGTTTACTTTTGCTTGAGATATCTCCAGTCTTTGCTTTTTTAGTTGCCTGTCTCTGGCTAGGACTGTGGTTTACCAATTTCTCCAGTGCAAATTTTGATTATTTCAGTTTTGGTTGTAGAGGTTTCCTAATTCCCACGATTATCTTTCTTTCGCCAAGTTGAGGTTCTGACCCTTTCCTGTTTGGAATTAGATGGGTGGATGCAAAAGAATCGTTCTTGTTAATCCATGTTCACTCTCCATATAAAGGCGCTCTACTCCACAGACAACATGACTAAATGTGGCCTTTGACGTTTTCATTGTCTATGTTTAATCTTAGCAGCCACAATATGTCTTTAAAGCCAGCTTCAATTATCCTCAGACGCCCTTTCTCACTTGTGATCGTTAAAAGTCTCACTGTTTGTTAATTTAATCAAACCTCCCTAAATCAAGTCATGTAAACAGCATTCAATATGCGATCAGTTCTGATTAACAAATTTTGGCGACATTTAAATTGAACATGGTTTATAATATGTAAATACAGATGAATGCACGCTGCTGCTTGGCGCGAAACGAGGAGCTGAAACAGATGCTAGTGTGTCGTGTAAATGTTTGTTCTTTCCAGACATTGATATGTTAAATCATACTGATTGATCGATTGTTTTTCGATTGTTTTGATTGGTTGATCACTTTTTTGTTGTACTGTTTGGTTGATAACTGATTTGCTGATTGGATTTTTGCAAAATTACGATAAGCGTTGAACGAGCCCTTTTCATTATCCTAGAAATACCTCTGCCCTATTTTTAAAGTAATATTTTAGATATTTTAAAAGGTTCTGTTGCCAAATGAGTTGAAGCTTCTGTTGCCCCAGTTTTCGCATGTATTTTGCCCAGAAGCAAGAGCTGCCCGCTAGACCTTCACTTTGGTTGCCATAATCATAACTCAAGACGCCGGTAATCAATATCCGCAAATGAGAGGAAATTATATTTCACGTGATTGTAGACATACATGACCGGTTTCCGTCCTTCAGTCTCTAGCCGCATGGACAACGGCTTTTTCCTCCCTGTTTCGTCGTCATGCATTTCTTTGCTTGTTTTATTATGCTGGGTTTTCTAGTCAGTTGCGTATGACTTGAAATGACATCTGATCATGCGAAAATTACCTCTGTCCACTTAAGACTATTTATGTATCTGGCTCATTCACATGTTTATTAATGGCGTTAACGCTTGCACCAACTGTCTCGCCGTTCCTTTTATGCATCTACGCCTACATTTCCATTAGCACTCTACGTCTCCTTGAAATGGAACGATGATTCAGCAGAAAATGCGACTGCTTCGCTATCAGTGCCAGTTTTGCTGGGTGACTGCACGTGCTCCAATCAAACAGTAGAAGTGAAAAGGCTATGAAAAATCATAGAAGGTTTAATCACAGAAAATCACAGAAATGTTTTCTGCCAAATAATGCCACGATGAAGCCAATATTCACAATTGTTTAAGGAAAATGTCAAACGGCCATCTTTATGTCATATAGACTTTGAGAAAATGATAAAAGAGAAAAATCATGAAAATAGGTATCGTTGTTATTTGTGTATTTCTCTGTTCACCATCTTTCTTATACGACTGGTTTGATATTTATACCTAACAACGGCTGTGAGGATGAATGCTGCTAGTTATCAAACATCGTGTCCCTACGCGCCCACTTTTCTCCCGACCGCCTAGAAGCATGTTATAAAGATTTTTCAGACATCAGTCATTTTTAATAACATTGTGGCCATTTTACATGCTTTTGACTCAAGCGACGACGATACGCTATTAAAGTAAGAGGAGATGTCGCATTTCCTGATAATACTGAGTGTTTCAATGCTTCTAAGATTCACAGTGGTAGAAAATCCAAGTTACTATTCCGGATTCATAATTTGCCCTTTGTGTAATTTCAGGTTTTTACGACTACCCGTAGTAGCAAGGAATCGATGCAGTTAAAACCATTTCACATTGGAATTCGGTCCCAGATAAAATGCCACTTCTTGAATGTGGCTTACTGCGTGATTTAGCCAAAGCTTTTTTATTGATTTCGACGTGAAAATGAAGGTGTTACGGGATAGTTCCTTCAGCTAACACTACTTCTTTCATGCCTCTTCAGCGCCCTTTTTTTTACCTGTCTTCATTCGGAAATTCCTTTACCTGTCTTGTTGTGGCTGAATTGTGGAGAAAATGCATTGATATGCTATACTGAGCCAGTTTGAATGGCCAGTTTGAATGGGAAGCTGATAACCAATGGATGTTGTAAGCGTTGGTACCTAGTACTGTGGTCCTTTGCACAATAAAAAACGAAGCTAAAAGTCATGCCACCCATCTTCATAAACAGTCTTTACGCCTTTTAAAAATCTTTTAGCGGTTTCATTAGTTTTCGTTCAATGTTGTGGTCACTGTTGCCCTTCTCTATCAAACGTTTTGTTTTAATTTAGACGGGCGTTGGAGATCGTGTCAAAAGAATTCATCCGCCACAAAAATGAAGGCTATTTTCGCTATCCATCTCACAAAAACTAAATGATCCAATTTCATTCAAAAAGCTAATAACAATATTTTAACTTTCTTTGGCTTTTTGTCAGGCGACGAATCAAAGTAGTCCGCAGACCTCCAACCCAGAAGTCTCAGAACTTGTGTTTATAGCACCGTTGTCATACCGAGGTTGTAAGGCCATTCAGGGACAAGTGACATAACTGTAATGTTTGCATCCTGTTTCCCGGCTCCTTCTGGTGGTTCAAAGTTGCTATTTTCAATGAGATTGAATTTATCATTGATAACAGTTTAAGATTTGAGTTGCTTTTAAAAACTGCTCAACAAATATTCCCCACCATGAACCTTTGCTCTCATCTCTTTTTCCGGCCACTGTGCGCTAGACACCTTGGTTTACATGACAACACACCTTTACTTGTAACAATGAAGCTTGAAAACTTGGACCACGCGTGATTTTAGAACTGTCATTGGCAGCCGTGTGAACTACATTACCTTCGACATTACTTGGACCTCGTCTTTTTATCAAAAAATTAAGAGAAGAAAATAAAACGTGATTGAACGTTATTTGTTTAACGAAGTTGTATTTAGCATAAATCGGCTGGAAGAGGTTTCCGTATTCAGTCTTAATGCTTATGTTTCTTTCTTAGGAATTATTCGAAAGGAATGGCGTGATTATGGGTTGTTCGCCATGAAGGGACACGGGTTTACTTTCAGGAACGGAGAGCTGATCGTGCCAGAAAATGGAGTGTATCATGTGTATAGTCAGGTCTACTTTAATCACAATGATATTAAAAAAGACCCAAATATTGCCCATTTTGTGTATAAAAAGTCAGGCTCGGATGGAGAGCGGATACTAACTAGTTTGGTCACGAGGAGTGTTAAGATTGGAAACAGTCCCGTGCTTTTCAATGGTTATACAGCTGGAATGTTCTATTTGAAGAAAGGGGACAGACTTATGGTTGGTGTTTCAGAAGAACTTCTTCGCATGGCCCAGTTTGTTGAAAGCCTAAGCTACTTCGGTGCATTCCTTATTGAAAGGTATTGAGCCATGTGAAACCCGTTCGATGTAGACTGCAAGTGGCTATTACGCACTTCGTGTTCTAGACCGGCCTGACGCGTTTACTGGTCTAGGCCAACCACTACAGTACATTGCAGAGTCAGTATTCGTCTCGTATTCACGTCAGACTGACACTGAGTTGAAGCACATCCAAGATGGTGTACATTGAAATGGAAGTTTGCAAGTAAGACTAGATTTATTGGTTAGCGTTCTAAAAATGGTGTTGATGTAGCGATCGGTAACGGCAGAATCGTCAAGGGCAATAGTCTGGCCCAGAACATTGTTTATCGTGGTTAACTGCAGAGTGATAACCTGGTCCATAAAGATATGAGCTGTTTTTATACATATTGGAAATTGAATATAATTACCTTTTATACTTTCGTAGAATTTTCTAAACAACAAAGGAAACATTTTGAGGTCGATTTTTAAAGCTTTTTGACGTTTTTGCATTGGAATAGTCATCATCTGATGCTCCTTCTTGAATGGCCTAAAACTGGAGGATATCACCTTCAAGGACATCTCCTTCAAGGAGTGTCATTGTCTGGTCCTGTAAAGTTCATTTGTTTGATTGAGAGTCGGTTATTTTAACAACACTTGTACCATTTGCCAAGCACCTTGTACAGCTAATCTTTTCAGCATTCGTTATAAAGAATTTTTACATTAGATCATTAATATTTTCATACGTATTCTTTAAAGATATTATAAATTTTTTATTCGTTAGATTCATAGCTCTTTATATCACCGTGATGTACATTAGGCATTTAGTACAGCCGACGTTTTTCACTGCAGAGTTTTCCTCTATCACTCTCCGTTAACGGTTCATTAAGGCCACTGTTTAAGTCCCTCCTTTCGCCACAGTCAAAAACCACAATATTACTCTGGTATTTCCATTTTATGTTCCAACCTCTTTCTGGTTATTTGGGGATGTGTTATTTTCTTACCCTGTCATGAGCCCTAGCCCCCTGTCTTCAATATTCTCTTTTCCAGAGCTCTTTGTAGGAACTCGTCATTCACACAAACGCAACCCCCCCCCCCCCCCCCCCCCCCCCCCCCCCCCCCCCCCCCCACGCACCCCCCCTCCCATCTCTCTCTCTCTCCCCCCTTCTCTCTCTCTCTCTCTACTTCCTCTCTCTTCTCTCTCTCTCTTCTCTCTCTCTCTCTCTCTCTCTCTCTCTCTCTCTTTAATCTAATGTCTTTCAAATCTAATACTCTGTTCCTATCTATTCTTTCTCTCGATTTTCTTTTATGGGTACATTGTGACAAAATGTTTCTTAAGGGAATGAAAATTTTCAAAACTCGACTGTGATGTTTTGTCAAAACGATAAACATGGTGCTATTTAAAAAAAGTAATTACCAAGTGACATTGATAAGTGATTTTCGACCAAGCAAGTCCAAAGTGCTCAGCGATAACAGGTTGACGTAAATTTGCAATTAGCTTTAAAGAAATATTAACAAGATGAACTCGTTGTTTCCACTGTAAGGCCAATTTGAGCTGCAGCTAATTATTATATTCTTGTTTGTTTTTCCATTATTTTCGTATGTTGTTCTAGCAATAACTTTAGATCCTGGGAGTCCCCCTTTCACTGTGTTGTAAGTAAACCCCCTATTTGAGAGTGTAAATAGATCAAACCCTTTTCACTTTCTAAAACCCTTGTTCAGCAAAACAAGCTACAAGCTACTCGCTGCAGGCTACTAGCCTAGCTTAAAAGGATACAACAATCCATGCTTACATCGTATATAAAGCGGAGCGGTGATGATCCATTTTGCCCACTGAAGAGAAGATGGTTATAACATTATGCTTCTTCATTACCGCCTGTGTTGATAGCCGCCCCTCCTTGATAGCCGCCCTTCTTATGAATGATAGCCGCCCGATGTTGAATTGGATCTTTAGGCTTGGTTGAATATAGCGTTTATTTGATCCAGTTAGTACGCCATGTGAACATGGGTTTGTGCGAGCATGGTGTGGACTCCCTTTGCCAAAGGCCATTGTTTTCTCTGTTATTGCTACCCAGTGTTCATAGTTTTGAAATTGTAAATTGTTATCGCTAAGAATGAAATTAGAACAAAGATGGTCAAGTGCCTTCAGCATTTTGACCTTTATTTTGTAAATAAGCATCAATGTAGAATTGTGATAACTAGCTTCACTAATTATTGTCAAATGTCAATTTTAATTACTTTACGTTGTCGGCTTTGACATATTTTCTGATAGGAAATATTTTGCCTTCTTAACTCATTTCTCTCTTCTAACCGACTAGGTTATGCCGAAGCTTAGTATGCTAGATTTGCAGCATCCCTGCTAGAACATTCCTTACTCTAGAGACCGAGAACAAATTTGGGGTAATTGATTCGACTGCAGGAAGTGACTGTTTCCCGTCTCTAGAAACCCTAAGAGCCTTTTGAGCCCCCGCGAAAGGGTCTTTCGCCTTCACTAAGTGTAAGTAAAACGCCCTATACTGGCTGCGACATCCACTCCGCTTTCTTGTATGGCCTGATGAAGTTTTCTTTCGTTTTTAATGATGAAGCTGTATTGATAGATTATATGTTTGTACATAAAATATACTGAATGATGTTTTGTGTCGTCCGTCTCAATCCGTATTTTATTTCTATTTCTAGTTTTAAGTTTGTATGAAGAAAAGATGAGAAATGTTTTGCTTGCATCTTTCATTTTTTTGGTTTCATTTTCACTTTTGACCACATAAGTGTAATTTTCAGTTACGTGAAAATGGGTTTAACGGGCGCATCAATAATGTCAAGATCAGTTTCTCTGTGGATTGAATTGGATGTGGTATCAACTGAAATTGTTAATAGCAGTGAAGGGTGAATGCACGAAATTAATTCGTTCAGTTCTCTGATCCATCCAGTAAATCAGGATTAATTTGTTAAGCAAAATCAGTTACATACTTCAAGTGCTAAGATCCTAATTGATTGCATATGGATGGAAGTTTCCTTCGAGTTGACAATAAGATCCTTATACTAAGATGAATAGTCAGATAACGCTAGTCGTAACGCTCCCGTTTATTTTCTCTAATTTATTTTCCTACGCTACATAACACCCAAATTAATGGGCAGTAATTAAAATGACATAATGTAAAAGAATTGATAATAATAGTTTATCTTGCCCCCCCCCCATTTGCTCAGCTGTGGCTTTAGGGGGTTTAACTGGGCTTGGCTGCTTTTTTGCCGATTTTATCGAATGTCAAACTTGAGATATTCGTCAATCAGAACTCCAAGTAAAGTTACGTAGATACTTACTATTATTAATAGACAGTGCGGGAAAATAACCGACCCGAGCGAGGCTCGAACTCACGACCCCTGACTTTGTACGTCAAGTGCTCTACCGCTGAGCTATCGTGAGTTCGAGCCTCGCTCGGGTCGGTTATTTTCCCGCACTCTCTATTAATTATCTTCGAAATCCTGTTGTCTGTAAACTTACTATTATTGTAAACTCATTGATAATTTCAAATTTTTCTATCTGTTAACCTCGATTTTAGACAGCAATAGCTTGAAATTAATTTAGAGGGATTGCAGTCATTTCGGTCAGTTTAAACCATTCCAGGCAGTGGCGGTTTTAAGGTTGGTCCAGGGGGGGCATGGCCCCAGGCCCCGCACTGATGGTGGGGGGCCCACACCTAAGAAAAAAGATAGACATTGTAAAGAACAAGGGCCCACATATGTTTTTTGGCCCCGGTTCCCGCAGTCCCTAAAGCCGCCACTGATTCTAGGCATTTATCGGTGTTTGTCTTTATTAGTTGTAAAAGCTCATCAGCACTAGTTGCAGTGACAGTAAGGCCCGAGTTACACGACGTTTTATAAGCCCGTTCTTAAGGTTTGACCACCAGCCGCTGCAGCGACCGGGCTTAAGCCAGAAGTGACGCTGGGCCTTGATTTTTCTCCTTTTTCTGATGCGATAGCTACAAGAAGCTATTTGTTTCATTAACAATTTTCTTCGTGCCAGATAGTTGTGAGTAATGATTTCAAATAACATGCTGTACTGCTGCAATAAAGTGGAAAAACCCGTAGGCATGCCAATAAAAATTTTGATTTACAATTTGATGTCAGTCATGTTTATGCTGGGTATTTCCTTCTTCAAAAAGCGTGCACATTTTACACATAACAGAGGCAACGTGAACTGCAACGAGGTTTCGGAGTGGAAATCACTTCGGAATCAGTGTTTACACGAGAAGGAAAGCGAAGCGAAGTACTTCGGATTGATTTTCACTTCACCTCTAGAGCGGAGTGACTTTCACTCCGGTTACGCCCACCGAGGTACTTCGGATTGATTTTCACTTCACCTCCAGAGCGGAGTGGCTTTCACTCCGGTTACGCCCACCGAGGTACTTCGGATTGCCTCAGCGTCGTGTAACTGAAACCCCTATCCGAAGTGAAAAGCAATCCGAAGTGAACCCAATCCGACGTCGTGTAACTCGGGCCTAAGTATGTTGTCATCAGCAAAACTGCTCATTGATCCATTATCGAGGTAGTAACAAATTGCGGTACTCTTTGTAGTGTCCTTTAATAGCTTACCCTAAACGATGTAGTGTCCTATAACTTCTTGCGTTCTGTCGGTAAGATTACCTTGTATAAGCAAGAGAGAACTTTTTTCTAGTCCGAAGCATGTAGTTTTGCCAAAAGAAGTATTTTAATAGATGGCCAAAAGCTTTTGATAACTCTAAGGTTGTTATCGATCTATTTATTGCTTTCTAACTTTTTTCCAGTCTTCGACGAGTCTAAATATAAAATGCTAGGAAGAAAAGTATTTGCTGAGGGCACATAAAAAAATTGAAAATACCTTTTCAAGAAAAGGCGAGAGTTAAAGCAACATTGCTTGTTAAACGTCTTTCGAAAATGCTGTTAGTAGACTTACAGATATATACCGTATTTACTCGAGTGAGTGCCGCGGCGCTCTTTTAATTTCCGGTACTTTTGATGCGGCGCTTATTCGGGGGCAGCGCTCTTACGGGGGCGGCGCTTATTAAAAACCTTGTAAAACAAACAAACAATTTTAAAGAATTGTTTAGTTAATAAAACATACAAGTTTGAAAATGTCTTTAAAGGTTTATAAAATTTCAATGTCACTGTCGTCTTAATTGTCGGAGACCAACTGCATGCCAACCATTGTTGGAGATGCCTCTTCGACATCAGATGACGTAAATTCGTCGCATTGGAAAGGATTTGTGTCAGGGTTCGTCCAAAATATCCAACTGCGATCAAAGCATTTCCCTTCCAGTGCTGCATGGCTGTCAGTCTTTCAGGCAATAAACTGGTCACACAAGTAGGAAAAAGTAAGAGAGAAACTGGCCTGGTTGTTCCAGCAAAGTTCTCTGCCTTCACGCAAATGTACACATTGCCAAGATTCCCAAGAGAGATGTAAATAAGAAAGCTTTAAAATATTCTCACTTTGAACTTAAGAGTGTTTTGATACAAGAAAATAAATTCCCGAGGTTGATTTAAGATTTGCACTTTTTTTCCTGTTTGGTTCTAACGATTCTAACGGTTTTTCGATCAAGCGCCGCATTTACAAAAGAGATAACTGCGGCGCTCATTCGGGGGCGGCGCTCATACGGGGACGGCGCTAACTCGAGTAAATACTGTAATCTTCTTTGCTAAAGAGATCTTTAACTTACATACAAGGAGACTATGCCTTTTTTGAAGATTTAGGCAAATTTTGTTGAAGAATGCATTTATTTATGATGTCTGATAAAGGCTGCAGGATGACATCTATTTAAACTTTTAAGAACATTTTCATTTATCATATCGTATCTAATTGCCTAATGTACCTTGTAAATATTTATGAAAATTACAAGTTGAAATGACAACGTTGATTTAATATTAATTGTTGACTCATAATGTTGTACTTCCTTCACAAGGATAATGACGTCAGTTTTCTATTGCATGTTTTGGTTTTGGTGTGTTTTTTAACTAAATCTTTTTTTCAGCGTAAAACTTTTAGAAACGTCCTATACACATAAGCATACATGTGCACTCGGCTGTCTTTCTTGACCTTGGTTTGAACCAGGTC